CGCATATGTATAGGCTTTGTCTTGTCTTTTCACGCATTTACATTGGATCAATATTTGGCATGAAGCAGTTAAATGGTAGATCTGAATTTGTTCAACTGACGCTATACCGTATCTGCGTGATCAGTGTTCTTTCAAAAGGCGTGTCAGTCGAAACAGACGGCTTATTCTTAAGCTTTCTGTTTCTTCCTCGAGGGTTATTCTATCCGTCGCCATGTACTGGGCATCTTGCATATTGACCAAGCGTGGATTTCGTTCCACATACGAGTACAAGTCTTGAAGAATAAGGTCATTGATTCCTACACTATTCAGTTGTTCCAACTGCAAAGATTTACATAAGAGCGTCGTGCGAGGCGGAAACATGATCACGAATGGTCAGTAGGTGAGAATTTTTAGGGAAGCAGTATATATATATATTTAGATATTTATCCATCTCTTTATGGTTTATTTAGCGACTCTTATCAGTTATTCTAACTATGCAACGTCGAATGGTAGAATAATTACGGAATAATGAATAAGAAAGAATGTGGAAGGAGCGGTCGTGACCTAATTTGAGGTAGTACCCTGAGTTCATTCATTCATCAATCGCTCTACAGCCCTTTGTTGGGCCTTTATCTCATCTTCAGTTTCGTAATCTTTTTTGTACAGTCGGTAGGACTTCTTGCACGAGTGAGCAGCCAGTCGCAAGGCCGCTACCTACACCCAGGACAACACAAACACAGATATCTATGTCTCGAATGGAATTAGAACCCACGATCCCAGCTTTTGAGCGAACAATGACAGTTATTACCTTAGACCGCGCGGCCACCGTGAGTAACTGAGGAAAACCAAGCTTAGCCTCAGTAATGATTGTTAGTGTCTCGTACAAGAAAGGAGCGCATGTATCTCATTATCTTCATGCCTTCAGGAATCTATTGCCACTAAGATCGTCCCCGTCTTCGGCACGTCTCAAAACGAATGTGCTCATGTGGACACTGAGAAGAAACGTGAGCGAGGCACTGCCTGTGGACCACCGCGCCCATCCCGTTCCGTCTTCGAGGAGTAGACTTCACGCCCACCTACGGCAAATGTCGGCAGCTCAGGACGGGAAAATTCCTTGGAAAATACGAGTATATACGTTCGAAAGGAAAAGTCAACGGAAAATGTGTCCTTAGGAAGTGTTCGTGAAAATGTGACTTGGACGAACTTCGCTCAGAATTGTGCAGAGAAGAAGTCCATTTTGGAAGGACCGAAGTTCGGAACAAGATATGTGGCAACGCCGCAGTGCTGTCGAGCGACTGGTTCGATCAGCCGAAACTTTATTACCTACTGCCCTCCGATAAATGGGACATGGCGTCAGAAGCCCTTAAGGACGTGACTACTGGCCAGACAGTCTCAACGCAAGACGAAGGGACACGCACCGCAGCTTCAACTCAGCTCCTCTATCCCCGTTTTGGAGTGTTACGAAGTTTTGTATGGGACATCCTACCAACAATTGAAAACTAAATACGAGCGCGGAAGTTATCGAGAGCTAGGAATCGTAGTTTATTTGAAGACCTACACAGACTTAGCATCTAATCCATTTCAAAGGGCTTGTCCACTTGCCTGGAGCAAGTTTACAAACACGGGTATAAAAATATTCGTATGACACACAGACCCACTGTAAGAGTGTGGACGAGGAAACATTTTTACGTGAATATTAGATTTAAGTTGAAATTTTGGAGTGCCGATACTCAACCAAATAAGAATTTTTTTTAATGTTAGCGGGGTGGGATTAAGCCCTTGTACTGCGGCCACTTCTGGCCTATTGTACCAACCCCAGATNAATGTTAGCGGGGTGGGATTAAGTCCTTGTACTGCGTCCACTTCTGGCCTATTGTACCAGCCCCAGATTATAGGTGAGGGTGATTGTGGAGCAATTGGTGGAATGAAGATTGGCAGGGGAAACCGAAGTATTCGGAGAAAATCTGCCCCAGTGTCACTTTGTCCACTATAAATCCAATATTACCTGATCTGGGCTCGAACCCGTGCCGCCGCGGTGGGAAGCCGGCGACTAACCGCATGAGCTATGACACGGCATACAGGCGTTCTTTCTCTCTCTTGTACCACATCAGTCTTTAGTACACCTGCACGTCGTCACATGCATGGTTTTCCTCGGTACTATTTCTGCCAGTTCATATAATTTCCCCCAGAGTCCACTGCCATGTTTCACAGAAAGTTCGAGGTCGAACAGTTCTCTGCATGTGATCCACGGAATTTCTGGATATAGTGTTTAAAATTCCGGATATTCTGGTTTCGAATACCGTATTTACGCATGTATAGGCCGCGTGCGTGTATAGGCCGCAGCACAATTTTCAGACAGAAGTTATAGAAAAAATAATTTTCTTGGAATATTATTTCAGGAGTAGAGCACCCTGTATTACTAATTATGAATATTTTTTTTAAATGAAGTGAGATTTCGAATATAAGCCGCACCCCAGTTTTCCTCTTGAATTTTTGGCAAATAATGTGCGGCCTATACATGCGTAAATACGGTATTTGTCCGCAGACCGACTGGAGTTTCTCTCAGCCCTTAAGGGACAATGCTGAGATGACATCTTGAAAATATGACGGCTCACTTTTCATTTATAATAACACCATGAACTGATTGTGAGGTGTATAGGCATAACCTATGCAATTGAAAAAAAGAGTTACTAAGTACGAAATACTAGAAACCTATTTAGCTCCCACGGTTCTATATTAATATTGTCACGTGTTGGGTATATGTCACGCGACAAATAACTTCACTTTATTCCACTCGCTCTTACAATCTCACAATTACTGCCATCGGCAGTATCACAATTACTTCTCCTGCTGTAGACACTGCCATTCGCTCGATACTGGCTCAATCCTCACTACTCACTAACTAATCACTTACTCGTAGCTGGCTCAGTCCTCACTGACTAATCACTCACTACTGAATAGTGTTCACTGCTCCTAATTTAGCCTCGGCACGGACAACACAGAAAACAGTTACGTGATACTGTATACTAACATAGAGCCAGTTGACATTCCGAACATCAACAACAGGAGAAACTGCGGAAGGAGAGCTACATTTGCAGTAACATACTAAACTCGACAGAATAACAGCAAGTCCGTGATTGAGTAATCTGGCCCTCAGACACAAAATAAACACTGACAGACACTTTATGAATTACACTAATTTCTATTATTCGATTCACGCAAAAATAATTGCGGTTTTCGATATGTTAATATTTTTTATGCTTATTTTTTAATAAATTTTATTTAACTATGTTCATGTAATATACCGTTTTGAAGCGCGACTTTCGCTCTTTTGACTTATGCTAATACTTCTGTTTTCCCTCTTTAATCTAATTTATTTTAGGCTGTCAAATTCGAGCGATTTTATTGTATGAGTTCAAAATGGGACGCAGCAGCGGAAACTTCTCGCAATATCAACCAAGCATTTAGCCAGGGGACAGTCAACGAACGTACAGCTCAACACTGGTTAAAAAATTTTCGTAACGGACATCAACACTGTACGCTCCGTTTTCCCCATTTACATTTTGTAACCTTCCCCTGTATTAACACGCTACATTATTCTGAAATGTCTCAACAAAAAACCAAAATTGTGTAATTCCATATATGCATTCACACCAGGTCTGACAAACACTGGGAGAATTTTAGAATTTTACTTTGTAACGTAGGTTGGATCATCAGAGAACGAAAATTATGGTTCATAGAATGTTGTACTGAGAAATAGCCGGAAAGAAGTAAATAATTTTTAATAGTTAATTAAATATATCGTTGAATACTGAAAATAATTAATCTAATATTAACAGTAACAAATGTGGAAATGGGACTTCAAGGATGACACTAATATTTTGATCAGCTTCTTTGAAATTATATTTATGACCTATTAAAAATTTTCGTTTCGATGTGCCTGCCCTACAGGGTGATCTTTTCCGATATTGAAGAGGGCATAGACATGATAGGCATGTAACTTTGTGTGCATTGCAATAAGTAGTGAAAACTGGGTTACAAAGAAAAATAATCAAAGTGGATTATAAGTACTTGTATACTCTGCGAGAATAAAACCAGAGAAATAACACGAATAGGCATGATATACTTTCAAAATGGCCAGTGAAGGATAATATTTTCTGTAAAAGATTCGGCTGTGGCCTGTTCCGTCTTCCCCTCTCATCCAAGATCTCTCCACCCTCCCTACTGACAAGATTTTTTTTAAAAAAGTCCGCCTTTATTTTTTTGCGCATGATCATTCTGTTCTTTTTTGCATCTATCCATTTAACTTCATTTAAAGCATCTATGTCCGGAAACAGAAGAATAACAAATTACAATAGGCCTACTCTGGCTTACCGAAACGTCTGTGTGGGAGTGGGCAATGAAAGCAAAAGACAATAACAGCTATTGAAATGAAATTTATCGGGTGAACGGAGAAATATTCTTCGATTGGCCATGAAAAAACGAATATATTAAAAAAAATAAAAATGTAATTCATATTGAGCCAAATTTCGAAATATAAAACCAGCTGGATTAAACGTGTCGACAGAATTAAGAGAAACAGACTCCCGAAGCTGCTACAAATAATTCAAACCACACGGATCTAGGAACCCAGGAAGAACTCTGGACAGACTAGCGGACAAATGAGACCGGAACGGATAGAAATTGACCCAGCACCCTGATTGCTAGGTGGTGATGGTGGTGGTGGTGGTGATGATGATGATGATGGCATTACTTTAAATTTCTTAATTATTTATTTTGCTTGTTTCTGTACACCCTTTAATTAACAGATGTTTAAGATTTTAAACTGCGCAGTTTGAATTTTATCCCTTTCACCTCTAGTGTCCATTCATATGTCATAAAAGACTGTCTATTGGGCTTATATCTGACTGAAAAACAGACCATGGCAGTTGAATACAAAAAAAAAACCGAAACAAACAACAGCGCTCGCAGAAGAAACGCTGAATGCTGACCAGGTTATACCCTACGTTGGCTACACCTACCTTCTTGTGGTTCCACAACACGTTGACACTGGGCTTCCCCCGCCGGAAGTCCGCCTGGTCCACAACGTCATCGTGTACGAGGGATGCTGAGTGGATCATCTCCGAGATCATTGCTACCTGCCTCTGCGACGCCAGCAGTCCGCTGAGCAATACAAGAATGGTCGGTCATATTGCTGAAATGACGCCCCCTCACATTTTATAATTGAGTTTAGAACACTCCACGAGGTCCGAAATTCTTAAACCGATTTCAGATAACAGACAGTAAGAGATTTATCACACACTCTGGTATTATTATTGGAAAAAGGTAAAGTTGTCCCTGTGTTTAACTGATTAAGCAATACGTGTCGAAAGAATGGGCGATATCGACAAATCGATAGTATCAGAGCGCGTGGAAAGAATAGTCGATATCGAAATGTGTGATTGGGCCTCTATTGATTGTCGTGAAGTTGCGTGGGAAGGCGATGGTCTCGGTTATATAATCGTACAAGGTCTCCGCTATTTCAAATTGAAATATTTATTGCTTTGGCAATGGTGAAGGAGACGAGGAATGCATACAGAATTTTTGTGGGGAAACCTCTTGAGAAACGTCCAAATTACCATATACGGTAACAAAACAACTTACCTCTTTTCCTTGTACATGTGGTAGTTGATGGCTCTTGCCATCAGGATCGCAACCATCGGCCGCAACGCCTTCCCTTGCCCGTCGAAGTAGTATGTAGCAATGGTCTTGAGTTCGGGTTCTGTCGTGTTTCGTTGTAGTTCCTGAGCAGAACAACACAGAGGGCCTTAAATCATTATCCTCTTATTTTCTGTGTCTGTCTGTCTGTGCGTTTCTACTGGACTTCGTGACAATATCTCTCGTTACTTCGCTCTGGAGAGAGATGAATGAACCGCTCTATAGACTTAACTAATTAATCACTAGGCAATGAAGGCGTAGGGGGAGTGGATATATAGATCCACATTTTCATAACCTCGACACTAGCTGGAGGTGAGTGGTCAGCTTGACGCCTCTTCCGCTTTATCCCCGGGGAAAGAGCCCCCTGGTACCCATGTGATAGGAGGCTGGTTGGGCCCCAGAGCTGGTCTGGACGATGTGGAGAGCAGAAAATTCTTGACCCTACTGGGACTCGAACTCTTGACTCCTAGGTCGTCCAGCCGGTACCCAGTTGCTAAATGACTACTCTCTCCCAGCTCCCCCGTTTTAAATTAGGAGGGAAACAACGAAGGCAATTTTAGTTTATGTCACAAGTGACTGTAACAGCACTGATAAAATATATGGCGAATATAATTTTTTTATTGCTAGTGGGATAGGACTAAGTCCCTTGTACTGCGGCCACTTCTGGCCTATTGTACCAGCCCCAGATTATAGGTGAGGGTGATGGTGGAGCAATTGGTAGAATTAAGATTGGCAGGGGAAACCAAAGTACTCGGAGAAAACCTGCCCTAGCGCCACTTTGTCCCCCACAAATCCCACTTGACCAGACACGGGATCGAACCCGGGCCGCCGCGGTGAGAAGCCAGCGACTAATCACTTGAGCTATGGCGCGGCCCTGGCGAATATAAACAATATGAACCTACCCTGATTTTTCCGTAATTGTCTCCTTAATATTAACAGTGCAGGGATAATTTCAACATGGATGCTTTGTTGATGAAACATGCCAAAGATAAACAACGATATGTGATCCGATTTTTTATTTCAGAAGATCATTAAAGTAGTGATGCAAAGACGACTGTTCGTTCGGAGGAAAGTTTATGAATGGATGGAGGGAAAGTATGTACTGATGATGTTTGTTTGGGGCGCCTATCAAATGTAATGTGGGCCCAGTACGCAGTACGCAACACTTTCCACAAGGCCTCCTGCCCTCAGATTTTCCATCTGCATTTTGCAGGAGTTTGCCATATCCTCCATTTGTGTTACATATCCCATCTATTTCATTTTCTTACGTTGGTCATCCTGATAACATCTAGCGAAGGACACAAATAATTAAGCTGTTCATTATGCAGCGTTCTTCCTCTCTCTGAGGTCCAATTTCAACCTTCCGGTTTTGTGTCAGAATAATTTGACCCTATTTTCAGTTGGAAGCAACCCAGTCATGCCATGTTTCAGATTATAACAATTGTCAATTTCAACAAATTCATATCAGCAGTGACGGCCCTTAACAAGGTCAGAGTTAATGGTGAACTCTTTTGTTACCGAAGGCCGGTAGTAAATAGGAATGTTTTCGGTTATTTCTTTAGTTTATAGCACCGAATTGCAAATTAGAACAAATAATTAATATTTGCAATTTATGAAGAACAATTGTGTGGTTTCACTCTCATCTTTGCTCATCTTCTGTAGCAGACCCACACAGTCAGATTTGGCCTCCAGTAAACTTTGAAGAACGGAGAGTTTCATCGAGGTAGGCCTAGGGCCAAATGAGGGATGTAGCGCTAATGGGGGAAAAAAAAAATAAGAGGTCGGTTGTTACGTAGCTGTTAAAAACGAGGAAACGAATCTGGAGATCTGAAGTTTTCAAGGCGACAAAAATGCAGATTGCGATCCCCTGAGATATGGCATCTTGTCGTGTGGTAGGTGGTTATATCAAGATAACAGTATCATATTCCAGAAGATCACAATGCTAAATTGCTGTTGTTATTATTATATTGTCAAAACTTAAAGGTGGGACTATAGACGGGGTAGGGATTGGATATTGGAATTAGTGACCAGTTATACACACCGTTCGGAACTACATGTAATTACAGCGCTACCGCTAATCTCCACACTTTGCATATCACCACAGCACCAGCTAAGCCTTTTCCAGCCTGCTATGTCTTAACCAGTCGTTCCTTAGCAAGGGGCCGCGCCATAGCTCAAGCGGTTAGTCGCTGGCTTCCCACTGTGGCGGCCCGGGTTCCATCCCGGGTCTGGTCAAGTGGGATTTGGGTGAACAAAGTGGCACTGGGGCAGGTTTTCTCCGAGTACTTCGGTTTCCCCTGCTAATCTTCATTCCACCAAATGCTCCACAATCACCCTCTCCTATCATCTGAGGCTGGTACAATAGGCCAGAAGTGGCCGCAGTACAAGGGACTTAGTCCCACCCCACTAATAATAAAAGAAAAAATCCTTAGCAAAGGCTTCTAACAGTGGAGGTTCTTCAGCTTCCCTCGCTCAGGTCTTTTTGTCACAGCCGCCCGTGCAGAACTCCTGTCAGTTCCCTCAATCCCAACTGCCAACTGTCAGCTGAACTTGTTGCCATTTCTCCTTAATTATCTTCAGCTGGCCTGGGTTCCTCATTATATAGCCTCGAGGCGGACCATCAGAAAACACCGCTTTCAACAGTTCCTTTATTGTTGAAGGCGTCTTTACCGATCCGTTTGACCTGAAACGGCCGCTATTTGATTCGCCTAATGCATAGCAACGGCTGTTTTCTCGTTGTTTGTCTCGAAGTATTTGCCTAACAACGGGTCTATAGACCACAATATTTTATGTGATTTTTATATTTCTAGTTCTTTTACAGGAAACCACGACTTTATTACAAGTATTTATTCCTGATTATTTGGTTCTGAGATAAGTAAAACACAACTACAATTTAGGATATGACGTTTAAGTCAGTTTAAAAGTCCACAAGAACTGAACAAGATCAAACGAGGAAAGAGAAAGGAAGAGCAATTCTTAGACTGGAAGAAAAAGTACGTTCAACAAGAATGGAGAAATATTCCAGTGAGCGAGAGAAAGGAGAGCAGCTGGAGGTGGAAAATTGCACGTGTCTGTCCGGTCCTCGAACCTGTAGTTAGTTCTGATTACATTACAATTCAAAATCTAGCAGTTTTATGTAGACGCCGAGTACTTATTTCGAGAGGCCTTTTGGTGACTTCCCAAAGAAGCGTTAGAACAATGCTCCTATTAGCTTGGCCATATATGTCTATCCGCCAGCAGGCAAATTATGGAGTACCATTAAACAAATTGTAAAGTAAGCGTGTGCTGTTGGCGAGTTTGACTAAAATTCATCCAAACATCCCAAGTTTGGTTGAAACTGGACAACAATGACGCCCCGTATATGCGTTTCTGCATCAGTATATCAGTACGAGAAGCATGTGGAACAAAAGTTGTAGAGAAAAGTGAAACATATTCTCCGGCCATACATTTTTCTGATGTCTTACGGTAAAACAGTTACAGTTGTCTCTTTGCTTAAGTAATTAAGCACTGAGTCATGAAGGCGTACGAGGGAGTGGATGTATAGATCCACATTTTCTTCATCTCGGCACTAACTGGAGGTGAGTGAACAGATTCACGACCCGGACGCTTTACCCTCGGGGAAAGAGCCCCGGTACCCATTGGATAGGAGTTTGGGTGGACCCCAGAGCCGGTCTGGAAGACGTGGAGAAGAGAACATTTTTGACCCTACCAGGATTCGAACTCCGACGCCTTGGTCTTCCAGCCCATAGTCAATCGCTATACTGACTACAGTATAACGGTATTTGAGATAAGTAAACGAAAGAGATTTGTGTGCTGTCCGGTGGCAGGCTCTTGTGAACACGGTAATGTATTTTTGGGTTTATGAAAGGAGAATTCTTTTTCAGCAGCTGAGCGACTGTTATCATATCAAGAAGGACTTTGCCCCATGGACTTAGTTACTCAGTTACTTAGTGACAATAACAGAGCGCCACATTTGTCATGCAGTGCCTCTTTATCTCTCCGGCTCTAGAGCACTTTGGACCTTGGCGGCTTTTTCAGTTTCTTAATCCTATACACAGGAAGTAGGACTCCTTGGACGGGGGATCAGCCCGTGGCAGGGCCGCTATCTACACACAGAACAACACAAACACAGAATAAAAGCACACAGACATCCATGCCTACAATGGGATTCGAACCCACGACCCCTGTGTTCCAGCGGGCGAAGATGGTTCATGCCTGAGACCGCGTGGCCACTGTGATCGGCGTCATTTCTGAAATTGGTTTTAAAATGAGTCCACCTACAATGTGATGCTGGATTTCAGGCACTCACGGCAGTGTTCATGAAAAAGAAAACGATCTTCTGGGCTGTACCGCCTTTTCAAAGCAACATATCATCTCATATCATCTTCATGGTCGAAGAGTCAGGCAATGAAGACACCGGCAAGAACAAAGCTGGAAGTACCGCCAGTTGTAACAACTTATTTTCTAGCTTCGTTTGTAATTTCCTTGCTTCTTACTGATCTGGGAGATTTACCTTGTCCTGAAAATTCATTCCGATTGCTGGCTATATCAGTCTTACCGTGTGTTATCAACTAAATCACTACGAAATATGACAGTTTTAATCATTAAGCTGTTATCAGTCCGTGAAATTACACTAACTGTAAACAAAAATAAGATGTTTATACCGCCGGTGTAGCAACTTGTAGTAGCAGGAACAGAAATTCATCTTACCAACAAGGCTGGAAATGGACGTAGACTCTACTGATTTCTAGAACACTTATCATAAGGATATTTGCAGTGATAAACTATCGTTTCGAGCAATGGTACAAACAAAAATGAACCTACACTCTAATATTTCCTTTATAATATTTATTTGTCATTTCCACGGCTGTTTGTACCCAACTTAACGAAAAGTTGCATATTATTCAAAGATCTATTAGCATACTCGTACACCATGTTAGGATCCTACATTAAGTGACGATAACGTCGCTCCCAACTTACAAGTTCGCGTGTCCGCCATGTTGTCATTACTGGTTGTAGGAAATTAAGAAGTATGGAGTTGAGGTGGCTTTCAGTGGCATAACGCTCGTACCAAGTTTCGTGAAAA